TGAGATCTAGGACTGAGAAGTGGGATGCTGAGGCTGTATGGATTTGGAACTAAGGGATGGATAGGGACAATGGCTATGTTGATGAGGCGAAGGTCTTGGACAAGGCGGAAAGATCCGTTGGTTTTTTTAACAGCTAATATGGGGGTATTAAATGGGGAGTGAGTGGGTCTGCTTGAATGATGGGTTGGAGGCCTATGAGGGCTGAAGTGGTTAGGGGGTATTGGGCCTGACAGATATACTGAGAGGGGTCACATAATTTGATAGAGGCAGGGGGACATAGGGCCACGGAGGGGCTTGTAATGTCCCAAACTTTGGGATTTACAGGGTGTATGAGGGCAGAACCGGAGCTTTCATTGGGTAGAGGGGGGTCGTCGGCTATGAGGGCCATCAGAAAGGGAGTACTGGGGGCTGTGGGAGTGGATATAGTTATGGAAACGTGGAGGAGGGAAAGGATGTCTCGTCCTAGTAAAGGGATGGGACACTGGGGCATAACCAGGAAGGAGTGGGAGAAAGGTATGGGATTGTCTTGGATTGTGCATAAAAGGGGGGGTGGGGGGTTTAATGGGAAAATCTGTTTACCTCCTACTCTGACTATAGGAGTAATGGCTGGCGTGGTAGGGCCCCGGTATTCTCACAAGACTGAGAAGGTGGCTCCTGTATCTAGGAGGAAGGAGATGGGGTGACCGTCTACTGTTAAAGTAACCCTGGGCTCCTGTTTGGTGATGGAAATGGTCGGGCGAGAAGCCCCCGGGCCCCATCAATCTTCTTCTGCCAGCCCCACTACGGCGGGCTTAGGATGGGGGTTGTTCGTCCAGCCTCCCCTTCGGGTGGTTGGGCAATCAGACCCCCAGTGGCCCTTTTTGTGGCATCTGGGGCATGGGGTGGTAGGAGATCTGGGGGAGGGGCACGCCCTTGACCAATGTCCCTCTTTTCTGCACTTGAAACAAGCTCTTGGGGGGGCTTGTTTGTAGAGGGGCGCCCAGGTTGTGGTTTTATCAGCTGGGCCAACATCTGGAAATTGGCCTGATCAGCCTTTTGTTTACGGCGTTCTTTCTCCTCCTCCCGGTTATGGAAGACTTTAAAGGCCACTGTTAGGATCTCAGTCTGTGGGGTAGCGGGGCCCTGTTCTAACTTTTTGAGTTTAGCTTTAATGTCGGGGTAGCTTTGAGCTAGGAAGTATGTCATAAGGACATGTCTTCCTTCAGGTGTTTCTGGGTCCAGGCTGGTATACTGTAATAGGGCTTGAGTGAGTCTGTCTAAGAACTCGGAGGGGATTTCATCTCTCTTTTGAATTATGTCTTGGAGCTTTTGAAAATTGACTACTTTACAAGCTGCCCTTTTTCAGACCTGCTATTAAGCAGGAGGCAAAAATATCTCGAGAGCGGAGACTCATGGCGGTGTTATAATTTCAGTGTGGGTCTTGTTCGGGGACAGCAGTGGGGCCAGGGGGATAGGTGGGGTCAGTCCTGTGGGTTTCAGTAGCCTGCATTTGGGCGAAGTCCTAAACTCGTCTACGCTCTTCAGGGAGGAGAGTATTGGCCAGGAGCATGAAAATGTCATGATGTGTGAGGCTGTAAGACTGGAGGGTCTATTGAAACTCCCTGATGTATGTCATGGGATCAGTGGAAAAGGAACTTAGGCGTTTCTCTAGTTGGGCTAAATCTCTTAAGGAGAAAGGGACGTGAACGCGCACGATGCCTTCGGATCCTGCTACCTCCCGGAGGGGGGCGATAATTTTGGGAGGCTCTCGGGACTGAGTCTGAGGGGGACTGAAGGGTTCTGGCTCAGTCTGTGGGGGAGTGACGCGGTCTAGCCGTGCCTAGTCGAGCAGGTCCTGAAGTGCAGAAGGGGGGCAAAGAAAATAAAGAAAGATAGAATCGGACCCACATGTCGCCAGCTAGCAGCCCAGCTGCTTGCCTCTGCTGCTTTAGTTGGGCTTGAACTCATGACTCTGAGGTTAAGAGTCCCATGCTCTACTGAGCTACAGCAGGGCTCCAGTTAATTGCTTATGGAATGCATTGTTTTCTATTCCTGCCACATCGGCAAGTGGGGGAAGGGCATAGCTAGAAGCAGGGGCGGTGTTTCTACACATCTTCAAGGTCTCCCTATTTTCAGAGTGAGGAGTCTTGGCAAGATATGTTTTTGTGGACAGATAACTTCTAAGGACTGCACCGGTTGTTCTCTAGCTTGTGCTTTCCCATGCTGCGTTCAGACATGGGGGGAGGTGCTTTCCCATTCTCTCTACAAACATGTGAGAAGACAAAGGCGGTCCCTAACAGGGGAGAAACAGGTGATGAGGGCAAAGACGGAGGAGGCCCCTGGGACCTAGTTAAAGGGGGGCTGAAAGGCTCAGGCTTAATCTGCAGGGAATGAAGGTGGAGGAGGTGAGATGGGGGAGGAGATGGTTGGGGAGGAAGGGAGAAGGGCTGTTGTAGGAGAAGAAGGGGAAGGGAGTGAACGGGAGGCTTCTGCGGGGGCGGCGGCTTGCAGGCTAGGAGAACTTGGGAGGGGGCGGGGAGAGGAGGAGGCGGAAAGCTTCGATATAGGGAATCTCCTTCCATTTTTTCAGGCGCTGGCAGTAGTTAAAAAGATCGCGAGTGATGTTAGGATCAAGAGTTCCCCCTGCGGGCCATTGGTTGTTATTGTCTAGGGGGTATGTCGGCCAATCTTGGGAGCAATATTTACGGAGAAGTTTTGGTTTTATATCAGGCGTCAGGGAGAGGGTAGCCAGATGCTTAAGCAGGCATTCAAGAGGTGAACTTTCAGGGAGGGATGAGGAGGCTCCCATGGCTAAAGGACAGAGAAGGAGACAAACAGGGGAAGACGAACGGAGATCCTCGGACTGGAAGCAGACCACAAGGAGACAAAGGGCATCCCCGATGATCCTTGGTGGTCTGCGGAAACTCGTATACGAGTCGGAATTTCTTGGGAAGTGTGGGTCGTCACCCAGACTTCCCTAAGAAGGCAGAGTGCCGGAGTCACGAGGTACCTAGCGCTAGGCGTTTTCGGCGGACGGAGCAGAAGGAGGAGGGGGGGAAAAGGGAGCGTTCTCATCCACAAAGGAGTCACCTCGTTTATGGCTGTTGGAGGGGGGTGCCTGAGAGTCAGCCGCAGCCGTGAAGGCCTGAGGCGGGGATTTATGACTGTCGGAGGAGGGGCCTGAGCGTCCGCCGCAGCCGTAAAGGCTTGAGGCGGGGATTTATGGCTGTTTGGGGAGGGGCCTGAGGGTCCGCCGCAGCCATGAAGGCCTGAGGCGGGGAGAGTTCCCTCCTCATCCCCGAGCGTCAGGGCCTTGCCGGACGATCACGGTCAATGGCACTGCGATAGCTCGGGGAAGAGTGGCCCACCCCGGGGAAATTTTGCTTAAAAACTTTCAGCACTGATGGAAGGGATGGTGAATGCGTTTGACTGTCGGAGGAGGGGCCTGAGCGTCCGCCGCAGCCGTAAAGGCTTGAGGCGGGGATTTATGGCTGTTTGGGGAGGGGCCTGAGGGTCCGCCGCAGCCATGAAGGCCTGAGGCGGGGAGAGTTCCCTCCTCATCCCCGAGCGTCAGGGCCTTGCCGGACGATCACGGTCAATGGCACTGCGATAGCTCGGGGAAGAGTGGCCCACCCCGGGGAAATTTTGCTTAAAAACTTTCAGCACTGATGGAAGGGATGGTGAATGCGTTTGACTGTCGGAGGAGGGGCCTGAGCATCCGCCGCAGCCGTAAAGGCTTGAGGCGGGGATTTATGGCTTTTGGAGGAGGGGCCTGAGGGTCCGCCGCAGCCGTGAAGGCCTGAGGCGGGGAGCGTTCCCTCCTCATCCCCGAGCGTCAGGGCCTTGCCGGACGATCACGGTCAATGGCACTGCGATAGCTCGGGGAAGAGTGGCCCACTCCGGGGGGAAAACTTACCTAAAGGCCAGAGAGGAGTGGTGAGTGTGATGAGCCAGCGCCGGAAAAAGAGGACGAGGGCAAGCTGCTGCTGGTGTCGGGGGAAGACGGGGCCCAGTTGGGGTGTCCCGTCTCCCGGGTTTCGGCACCAATGAAAGGAAAGGAGCGACACATAGCAGCAATTCACCGGAGAGTTCCGCTTTATTAGGGAAAGGTGCTGGGTTATATAGGAGGGGGCATGAATTGATTGAGGTGTCACTTCTACGGGGCTGGTGGCTGTTGGCTAGGTGCTGGGATTGGGAGGGGGGCGAGAGGTGATTGGGCTTCAGGTGGCACCGGCGGGAACTGAGGACCCCGAAGAGAAGCCGGAAGTTTGCCATCTTGCTGGTGGGGACCCTTCACAGTGCCTACCACGTATAAGGGATAATGTTAATGTTCATGCAATAAATATTTTGAAAAATAACCCCTTTTATCACCTTAATCTTTGAAGCCATCATTCATGATTTTAAGTTTCCTCTCCACCTCTGTATAAATAGTTATGGTTTGTTTGAAGCCAGGTAACTGTAATACCAGCTGGTAAAGTATTTAATATACTTGCTCTACTGGCTTGATCTTTCATTCAATGTCTAGCTAAAAAGATCCCCCCAAAACCCGGAAATGAAAATAAAAGTGGGGTTGGGGTGGGGAAGATTAGAAAATTAAGGATTTACAGTTGCAGTCATACTACAAATGTACTATCATGCAAATGGAGAACTGAGGTAATGGATTCGCAGTGGAGAGAACCAAGGTCTTAGACTGAATAGGAAAGACAGTTCATATATGAATCAAAGAAGTAAATGAAAAATGTGAAAGCTTTATGAAATGAATTTGACTTACCATGCCTTTCCTTTCTTTTTCTTTTTCAGTCCTTTAGAGTTATGCTCCAAAGCATAGCTCTTTCAGGGAGAGGCACCTACTTAACTTCCTTACGAAGTAAATATGTCTTTCTTACTAACTCCTTCGTTCAACAGTATTTGCTTATATATGCCAGGCAATGCCATGCAAAACAAATAATAATAGAGAAAGGTATAATACTAATATAGTAGAGAAATAGTTAATATACTGTCAGTGTCTTCTTCCCATACAGGATGATAATAAAAGCTAATGAATCTACAGTGGAAAGAGCCAAGGCCAATGCCTCCCTTTGGGAGGCCAGGCTGGAAGTCACAGAACTCTCTAGGATTGAATATCGTGATACTTCCCGGAGACTGGCAAAAAGTAATGAGGAGTTAAAGAAACAGCAGTATAAAATGGAGAAAGACACCATGTCTGTATTAAGTTACCTGAAGAGGCAGGATCAGGAAAAAGATAATATGGTAGGTAGATAGAATCCCTTCTGAGCCTCAGTAACTACCCCTGTGGTTATACTGGTATGGTTATATATTTCAAGGATTTTTTAATTCCTTGAAATCTCATCAACACAGGTAAGACAATTCAGTGTACTCTTTCTTTGAAGTAAGAAGCTGTTTTAGAATGGCTTTACTGTCAGAATTGACTTTCTTATTTTCAGTCCTTGTCTCATGTTTTCTTGTCTGAAACAAAGATTGATGATTCTAAGGGAACATCATTATGCACTTTAAGAATAAGAGCATGGTATATAATCAGTGTACTTTTTGATATTGATACTTAGTTTCAATGATTTGTAAAGCAGTTGACTGATAATCTATCAGTCACATGATTATGAACCCAACAAATTGAGTATCTTCAGTTTGGCTAGTTGAATCTTGAATTTATCTTATTGTTCCTTATTTAAGTGTTGAGAGTAGAACTGTCATTCTAGATCTGGAAGAAAAGGAAAGGGAGCTAACATTTTAGAGCTTCTATTTTGTGCCAGACACTATGCTAGGTACTTTACCTCTGTTATCTCATTTAGTCCTTTGAATAAGATGTAGGTACAATCCTGTCCTTCCCATTCTACAGATAAAGAAATTGACTTTCAGAATGGATAGGTAACTTACCCAAAGTCACATAGCTAGTGGGTGTTAAAGTGGAATTTAGGTGTAATTCCAAATTCTTGTCCTTCCCACATGCCTCTATGAGCCCCATGGAGACCCAAGGAAATTTCTACCATTCTGAGGATGGTATGCCTCTTTCCCATGTATGCTTTTATACTTTTACTATTTATGTATTTGCATCCACAATACATACTACACTCTTATTTTTAAATGTACATTAGTAGATCATATTGTACATACTTTTTGTAACTTTTCTTACTCAACATTATGTTTTTGTGGTATATTAACAAAAACCACATGATTCAGTTCATTTTTAAAAAATTTATAATAGGCATATGTTTTCAGTCATTCATACTGCTTTATAATATTCCATCAAATAAATAAACCAGAATTTATTTATCCATACCTCCATGGGTCAGACTGCTGTTTTCCAATTATTAAAAAAAAAGTGAACATTCTTTTTGTGTGTCTACTTGTGTGAAGAGTTTCTCTTGAATAGACACTTAGAAGTTTTATTACTGTATTATAAAGTACTCATAGTTTCAACTTCATGGGTTTATTTGAGCTCCAAAAGGGTTGTTATACCAATTATGCTGTCACAAGGACTGTATTAGAGTGAGTTCCTATTTGCCTACATTTTTGTCAATATATGATATTACACACAATATTGCTCAATTTTGTGGGTATAAATTTGTGCTTCATTTTAATTTGTCTATTCCTTATTATTAGTCACTTGAGCATCTTTTATATGTTCCTTCAGCCATCTTTTGCTGTTTGTTTATGGGTTTCAATAAACATCTGAACTAATATTGGAGTGATGGTGCCTATATAAGAATGATGCAAATTCATAAATCATTCTATAATTTTTTCATTTTCCACCTTTTTCTTTGAAGTAAGAAGCTGTTTTAGAATGGCTTTACTGTCAGAATTGACTTTCTTATTTTCAGTCCTTGTCTCATGTTTTCTTGTCTGAAACAAAGATTGATGATTCTAAGGGAACATCATTATGCACTTTAAGAATAAGAGCATGGTATATAATCAGTGTACTTTTTGATATTGATACTTAGTTTCAATGATTTGTAAAGCAGTTGACTGATAATCTGTCAGTCACATGATTATGAACCCAACAAATTGAGTATCTTCAGTTTGGCTAGTTGAATCTTGAATTTATCTTATTGTTCCTTATTTAAGTGTTGAGAGTAGAACTGTCATTCTAGATCTGGAAGAAAAGGAAAGGGAGCTAACATTTTAGAGCTTCTATTTTGTGCCAGACACTATGCTAGGTACTTTACCTCTGTTATCTCATTTAGTCCTTTGAATAAGATGTAGGTACAATCCTGTCCTTCCCATTCTACAGATAAAGAAATTGACTTTCAGAATGGATAGGTAACTTACCCAAAGTCACATAGCTAGTGGGTGTTAAAGTGGAATTTAGGTGTAATTCCAAATTCTTGTCCTTCCCACATGCCTCTATGAGCCCCATGGAGACCCAAGGAAATTTCTACCATTCTGAGGATGGTATGCCTCTTTCCCATGTATGCTTTTATACTTTTACTATTTATGTATTTGCATCCACAATACATACTACACTCTTATTTTTAAATGTACATTAGTAGATCATATTGTACATACTTTTTGTAACTTTTCTTACTCAACATTATGTTTTTGTGGTATATTAACAAAAACCACATGATTCAGTTCATTTTTAAAAAATTTATAATAGGCATATGTTTTCAGTCATTCATACTGCTTTATAATATTCCATCAAATAAATAAACCAGAATTTATTTATCCATACCTCCATGGGTCAGACTGCTGTTTTCCAATTATTAAAAAAAAAGTGAACATTCTTTTTGTGTGTCTACTTGTGTGAAGAGTTTCTCTTGAATAGACACTTAGAAGTTTTATTACTGTATTATAAAGTACTCATAGTTTCAACTTCATGGGTTTATTTGAGCTCCAAAAGGGTTGTTATACCAATTATGCTGTCACAAGGACTGTATTAGAGTGAGTTCCTATTTGCCTACATTTTTGTCAATATATGATATTACACACAATATTGCTCAATTTTGTGGGTATAAATTTGTGCTTCATTTTAATTTGTCTATTCCTTATTATTAGTCACTTGAGCATCTTTTATATGTTCCTTCAGCCATCTTTTGCTGTTTGTTTATGGGTTTCAATAAACATCTGAACTAATATTGGAGTGATGGTGCCTATATAAGAATGATGCAAATTCATAAATCATTCTATAATTTTTTCATTTTCCACCTTGTCAGTGAGACCCTTCCTCACTATGCTCTTTAAAATTAAAACCATCTCCCTTGTTTTATTTTCTTTGTAATATTTATCACCTTCTGTCATACTACATACATATTACTTATGTATGCTTATTGTCTCTTTTTGTGAATAGAATGCAACCTCACAGAAGTAAGGAAATTGGGGGCTTGATTTTTGTTGTTCAGTGCTGTATCTCGAGCACCTAGTATAGGCCTAGCACATATTTAATGATAAGGCATTCATTAAAATATTTTTGCATGCATTAATGAATAGCTTGTGAGTATACTGATGTTCTGAAAAAGTTAATAGCAGTCAAGTTCAAGATAACATTGAAAGCATATTAGAGAAATGAGATAACTGAACATTTGCATGGATTTTATGTATTTTATTAAATAAAATTAAGTTTTTGTGCATTACTATTGTTTTTTACCTTCTTTCCTAGGCAACTTCATTTTTAAAATTAACTTTTGAATAGTAGGCATTTTCAAAATTGTCTTCTATAAACTTTATTTCTGAAGTAAGTTTTTAGGTCAGCCATACAAATACTTTTCAACGTTCATTACATAGAAGGTTTGTGGCCTTCATGAGCTAATTGAAATTGTTCTACATTTATTGGTATCATTTGCATTTCTTTATTTTCATCAGCTTCCATGTATACAGCATCTGGCTGTAGCAAATTCATAATTTTCTCACAGTCATGAGTGCCTGTTAAAACCAAATAAGCCACTTAGGGAGGAAGAAATAAAGTAGATTCAGTTCAAGAGGTGGAAGCAACCCAAATGTCCATTGACAGATGAATGGGTAAAGAAAGTATGGTACATATACACAGTGAAATATTATGCAGCTTTAAAAAAGAAGGAAATCCTGTCAAGTGCTACAACATGGATGAACCTCAAGGACATTATGCTAAGTGAAATAAGCCACAAAAGAACGAATACTCCATGATTCCATTCCTATGAAGTATCTGAATGGTCAAAATCATAGAAATAGAAAGTAGAAAGGAGATTGCCAGGGTAAGATAGGAGAAAGAATTAGTTTGTCATGAGTATGGAGTTTTAGTTTTACAAAATGAAAAAGTTCTAGAGTTCTGTTGCACAACAATGTGAATATACTTAATACTACTGAACTGTATACTTAAAAACTGTTAAGATGGTGAATTTAATGTTGTGTTTTTAACCACAATTTTAAAAAAGGTTACCCAGGCAACTGATGATTGCCATTGTTTGGAAACTGGCAATAGCAAGTTAAGGGTATGGAGTATGTGCCCTTTTCTCTTCCCATCTTACTCCACCTCTCCAACCCTACTGTTTTTAAAATCATGTGAAAACCATAAGGGTATGGAGTATGTGCCCTTTTCTCTTCCCATCTTACTCCACCTCTCCAACCCTACTGTTTTTAAAATCATGTGAAAACCAGATTACTTAATAAAGGTAGGACAAAGAGCAATTTCTTTACCTTCCTGACTCTGTATTTCCATCTCCTACAGATTGAAAAACTGAAACAGCAATTGAATGAAACAAAGGAAAAAGCCCAAGAGGAGAAGGAAAAATTGGTATTTATGCACACTAATACTTCACTGATAGGGTGGTCATGTTTCTGGCGATCTAATATATGTAAGACACAATAAAAATGAATGAATAGGTCCTCTGAGCAGCTCAGTGACCTTAAAGCTCACACACTTGATTGTACAGAAGCTCAAAAATAACATTATAATATGCTACTACAGGAAGCCATCTCGTAGTAGAGCTAGAAAATATACATTTTTTTGAAGAGTAAAATATTATGATCACACTAATACTTTCAATTCAGATGCAGGAGTACTAGGTTTTTACTTTCTCTGGATCTCCTTTTTTCCTCACCAAAAATCCTGTTTTTTAATGACACCTGTATAATTGTACAGTTGCTCCAAACTTCAATATATCAACAGTCACAGAATATTAATACCAATACTACCACCAACGTAGGTTAGTGGAAATAGTTTAAGGTTTGGTGGAGTAATTTTCCCCTTAGTATATATGTCAGTAGGGATCTATGAACAAATTACAAGGTTTAAAAGCCATTTACAATAGTTCCTTTCTGTGAGGTTATGCTACCAACTCAACAACAGTTTGCTTTTGATTTTTAAGAGTTGTTTTTTGAAAATTTAATTGCACATGTAAAATTACATAATTATATAATTTATAAGTGTGTAAAATATTTATGTGGTTCCCAAAGCAAATCTATCAAACATGGTCTATTCTCAAATCTAACTTCTATCCATGTCTTCACTATATACCAGAGTATGTTGTGAAAATGGATTTTTGTCAACATGATAGGTGAGAAATGGTATTTCAGTGTATTTGCATTTCTCTTATTATGAGCTACGTTGAGCATTCTTTCATTTGAGGGTAATTTGCATTTCTTTTGATACCTCTTGTTCATTTTTTTATTGTGTAATTGCCCTTGTTTTCCTTCCTTATCCTTCCTCCTTTTTTTCTCTCTCTCCTTGTCTTACTTTTATTTTACTCCTTCTCCTCCTCCTCTCTCTCCCCACTTCTTCCCTTCTTGTTTTTCCTTCTTTCTTTATTTGAGATATTGGCCTTCCCTTTGTTTCTTAGCTTACTATTTTAATTTAGGGTCAGAGATATTATTTATCTTTCTCACAGGTTAAAGGTTTGTTTGGGTTTCTCAAACCTCTTTTTAATAAATATCTGCATTTTCTATGCAAGATCAGGTCATTCTAGAAATTTTCCTTATTCAAAGTACCTGGTATTTTTTAATAAAAACTAAAACTTTATGCAAAAACAAAAAGGGAACATTTTTTCAAAGAAGATGGACGAATGGCTTAAGGCTTCAAATGGAACATGACTCTGGAATTTTATCCTTTTTCCTAACTCATTTAATCTGCTTTTTGTGTACAGGAACAAAAGTATATTGTGCAAATAAGTGAGCTGGAGGGACAGTTCCATCAAAAAGCCAAAGAAATTGGCATGATTCAGACAGAGCTGAAAACAATAAAACAATTCCAGAGGAGAAAAATCCAAGTGGAAAAAGAATTAGATGATGTAAGTTTATTTAAAAAATTTTTCTTTTTGATTATGATTAACTTCTGATGTCTACAAAAGCCTTTACAGACATTTTCTCCTGCAAAGTAGTAAAGGGCTGCCTTTGACATTTTAGAATTTGAGAGTAAAAGGGAGAAGGCTTTCCAGTGTAGGACTGGATGCAAAAAGTCTTCATAGTTAGACTTCTCTTTTTGTAAGCATTGATTTCTTTCTGAATTCACCAATTCTTAGCCAATACCACCTCCCATGTTTATCAACAGTTAAACCTTTGGAGTGACTACAGTAAGAAACAAACTACAGTTCTTGGAAAATATTAGGGTTAAAGTAGCAAAGTCCTAAAGGAAAATATGTTTAGACTAATGACTCATAGTTTTATGCCATTAATGATAATGCAAGAAATGGCACAGATGAATGCTGCATACAAGTAGCTAAAATCACCTTGGTGACTTTGGGCAAGTTAATTAGCCTCTCTGTACCTTGGTTTCCTCATCTGTAAAATAGAGATAAAAAGAGTTGTCACATAGTGAGAATTATGTGAACATAATTGGAACATAAGTGAGAACAGTGATGTGTAGGTCTGTTAAAAAACAATGTCCTGATCTGTAGCATTTGCTGATTTCCCTGGTGTAAATACTTTTATTATGGCCAATATCAAGGTTAACAACATGCTAGCAAAGTTCCTGTTATGAGTCAGCTCCAACACCGTACTATTTGAAGTTGGTTCTCTGAAGGCAGACTGCTAGAGTATAAATGCTGTCTTCACTAGTTGGGTCTCTGGTTAAATTGCCTAATCTGTAATGTGGAGATGAGAATAACAGTACCAATTTCAAAGGGTCATTGTAAAGAACAATGGAAATAATCTGTTTCAGATACCTAGAACTATATGATAAATATTACCTGCTGTTGCTGATCCTGCTGCTATTATCACTCCTGCTAAAATTAAGATTTAGCCAGTACCAAATTGTCTTGATTACTGTGGCTTTGTAGTAGAGCTTGAAGTTGGGGAGTGAGATTCCCCCCCACTTTATTCTTCCTTCTCAGGATTGCTTTGGCTATTCGGGGTCTTTAGTGGTTCCATGTGAATTTTTGAACTATTTCTTCCAGTTCATTGAAGAATGCTGTTGGTAATTTGATAGGGATTGCATTGAATCTGTAGATTGCTTTGGGCAGGATGGCCATTTTGACAATATTAATTCTTCCTAGCCAAGAGCATGGGATGAATTTCCGTTTGTTAGTGTCCTCTTTAATTTCTCTTAAGAGTGTCTTGTAGTTTTCAGGGTATAGGTTTTTCACTTCCTTGGTTAGGTTTATTCCTAGCTATTTTATTCTTTTTGATGCAATTGTGAATACAATTGTTTTCCTGATTTCTCTTTCTATTAGTTCATTGTTAGTATATAGGAAAGCCACAGATTTCTGTGTATTAATTTTGTATCCTGCAACTTTGCTGAATTCCGATATTAGTAAATCCATCTGGCCTGGGGGTTTTGCTCTTGGGTAGTTTTTTGATTACCAGTTTAATATCGTTGCTGGTAATTGGTATGTTTAGATTTTCTGTTTCTTCCTTGGTCAGTCTTGGAAAGTTGCATTTTTCTAGGAAGTTGTCCATTTCTTCTAGGTTTTCATAGTATTCTCTAATAATTCTTTGTATTTCTGTGAGGTCCGTCGTGATTTTTCCTTTCTCGTTTATGATTCTGTTGATGTGTGTTGATTCTCTTTTTCTCTTAATAAGTCTTGGCTAGAGGCTTATTTATTCTGTTTATTTTCTCAGAGAACCAGCTCTTGGTTTCATTGATTTTTGCTATTGTTTTATTCTTCTCGATTTTATTTATATCTTCTCTGATCTTTATTATGTCCCTCCTTCTGCTGACTTTGGGCCTCATTTGTTCTCCTTTTTCCAGTTTCAATAATTGTGACTTTAGACTATTCATTTGGGATTGTTCTTCCTTCTTTAAATATGCCTGGATTGCTATATACTTTCCTCTTAAAACTGCTTTTGCTGCATCCCACAGAAGTTGGGTCTTTGTGTTCTTATTGTCATTTGTTTCCATATATTGCTTGATCTCTATTTTAATTTGGTCGTTGATCCATTGATTATTTAGGAGCATGTTGTTAAGCCTCCATGTGTTTGTGAGCCTTTTTGCTTTCTTTGTACAATTTATTTCTAGTTTTATACCTTTGTGGTCTGAAAAGTTGGTTAGTAGGATTTCAATATTTTGAATTTTGCTGAGGCTCTTTTTGTGGCCTAGTGTGTGGTCTATTCTGGAGAATGTTCCATGTGTACTTGAGAAGAATGTGTATCCTGTTGCTTTTGGGTGTGGAGTTCTATAGATGTGTATTAGGTCCATCTGTTCTAGTGTGTTGTTCAGTGCCTCTGTGTCCTTACTTATTTTCTGTCTGGTGGATCTGTCCTTTGGAGTGAGTGGTGTGTTGAAGTCTACTACAATGAATGCATTGCATTCTATTTCCTCCTTTAATTCTGATAGTATTTCTTTAACATATGTTGGTGCTCCTGTATTGGGTGCATTTATATTTATTATGGTTATATCCTCTTGTTGGACTCACCCCTTTATGTAATGTCCTTCTTTATCTCTTGTTACTTTCCTTGTTTTGAAGTCTATTTTGTCTGATACTTGTACTGCAACACCTGCTTTTTTTCTCCCTGTGGTTTGCATGAAATATCTTTTTCCATCCCTTGACTTTTAATCTGTGCATGTCTTTGGGTTTGAGGTGAATCTCTTGTAAGCAGCATATAGATGGGTCTTGCTTTTTTATCCATTCTGTTACTCTGTGTCTTTTCATTGGTGCATTCAGTCCATTTACATTTAGGGTGATTTTTGAAAGATATGTACTTATTGCCATTGCAGGCTTTAGATTCATGGTTACCAAAGGTTCAAGGTTAGCTTCTTCACTGTCTTACTGTCTAACTTAACTTGCTTATTGAGCTATTATAAACACAGTCTGATGATTCTTTATATCTCTCCCTTCTTATTCCTCCTCCTCCATTCTTTATATGTTGGGTGTTTTATTCTGTGCTCTTTTGTGTTTCCTTTGACTGCTTTTGTGGGTAGTTGATTTTATTTTTTGCCTTTAGTTAGTATTTGGTTGGTCTGCTTTCTTTGCTGTGATTTTATTTTCTCTGGTGACATCTATTTAGCCTTAGGAGTGCTTCCATCTAGGGCAGTCCCTCTAGAATACCCTTTAGAATTGATTTGTGGGAGGCAAATTCCCTCAACTTTTGCTTGTCTGGGAATTGTTTAATCCCTCCTTCATATTTAAATAATAATCGTGCTGGATACAGTATCCTTGGTTCAAGGCCCTTCTGTTTCATTGCATTAAATATATCATGCCATTCTCTTCTGGCCTGTATGGTTTCTGTTGAGAAATCTGATGATAGCCTGATGGGTTTGCCTTTGTAGGTGACCTTTTTTCTCTCTCTAACTGCTTTAATACTCTGTCCTTGTCCTTCATCTTTGCCATTTTAATTATGTGTCTTGGTGTTGTCCTCCTTGGGTCCCTTCTGTTGGGAGTTCTGTGTGCTTCTGTGGTCTGAGTGACTATTTCCTCCCCCCGTTTGGGGAAGTTTTCAGCAATTATTTCTTCAAATACACTTTCTATCCCTTTTTCTTTCTCTTCTTCTTCTGGTACCCCTATAATGTGAATGTTGTTCTGTTTGGATTGGTCACATAGTTCTCTTAATATTCTTTCATTCCTGGAGTTCCTTTTATCTCTCTCTGCGTCAGCTTCTCTGCGTTCCTGTTCTCTGATTTCTATTCCATTAATGACCTCTTGCACCTCATCCATTCTGCTTTTAAGTCCTTCTAGAGATTGCTTTATTTCTGTATTCTCCCTCCCAATTTTATCCATTAGCTCTTGTACTTTTCTCTGCAGCTCCATCAGCATGGCTATGACCTTTATTTTGAATTATTTTTCAGGAAGATTGGTTAAATCTATCTCCCCAGGTTCCCTCTCAGGGGATGTCTGGGTTATTCTTGTCTGTATCAAATTATTCTGCCTTTTCATGGCGATAGAGGTAGTCGTGGGCAATTGGCACATGTGTCAGCTGGGAGAACAAAGTCCCTTCCCGCTTGCTCGTCGCCTTCCTCTCCTGCGAGAATGGCGACCCCTAGCAGCTTGTGCTGGGTAGCTGCATGCTGACGGGCCTCTGATTCTGGCCTGGGTGGCTGTGGAGGGGGCTCTGCGGGCTGCTGTGGGCGTGGCCAGTCTCAGGCTGCTGCTCCACTATGGCAGGGCCATGCCAGAGGAGGAACCGGCGGGAGGCTGTTTATCAACGTGAGGGGCCCCGGAGCTGCACTGCCGCCCAGGGGATTAGGGCGCCTGGAGTTCCTCAGGATTCCCAGCTGTTGGGCTGAGTGTGCTGGGACGCTTACATGCAGCTGTGAGGCTCCTGTCCCTTTAAGACTTTCAAAAAGGATAAAAGTCATCTTTTATCCTGGGGCGCCGACTGTGGGAACCCACTCGCAGGTTTTACTGTTTGGTTTCCCTAGTATCCCACACTCCACGCACTATGTGTCTGCACAGATGACTAGGGCTGGGTATTTCACATTCCTGGGCTCCCACTCCCACCCCCCTCCGTCTCCTCTCCTCCCGCCGGGGAGCTGGGGTGGGGGTCGCGCTTGGGTCCCACCAGGCCGTGACTTGTATCTTACCCTCTTCGTGAGGCAGTGGGTTATCTCAGGTATAGATGTAGTCTGGCTGTTGTATTGTATCTTCTTCTCCGTCTCCTCTCCTCCCGCCGGGGAGCTGGGGTGGGGGTCGCGCTTGGGTCCCACCAGGCCGTGACTTGTATCTTACCCTCTTCGTGAGGCAGTGGGTTATCTCAGGTATAGATGTAGTCTGGCTGTTGTATTGTATCTTCTTGTCTCTCTTTTAGGAATAGTTGTATTTGTTGTATTTTCAAAAATATATGTGGTTTTGGGAGGAGATTTCCACTGCCCTACTCACGCCCCCATCTTGGCTTCTCCTCCTGATAAATCTTTATT